TCACATAAATCACTGTTGGGACTGTGAGCATATCAGAGTTGTGTTTTAGCACTTTCAGTATTACCTTGGCTGTGTAATAGATCCACAGCAGCTGAGGAGAGCAGAGTAGCCTGGGCAGCTGTTTGAGGGCTGGAGGCAAAATGGTAAGGCTGACCCATGGTACTGTATAACATAGTCTAATAACACAGTAGACCAGGGATCTTCAACTAGATTCAGCCGTGGGCCAATTTTTTCTTGAGCGGATGGTCGGGGGGCCAGAACTGAATTACAAATAATTTGTAGACTGCAAATTGACCACAAGAAGTCCAAACAGATATAATGTTAGGCTAAAACGTAATCATTTCAAACCTTGCTTACATTTGTATACGATCAAATTCAGCCCGCGGTCCTCCAATTGGGGAACCCTGCAGTAGCCCATTGACTGTCAGCTGCCAGCCACTCTCTGTTACAGTGGCTTAGAGACCATCTACCCCCGGGCTTAAACTAAACAGGTGTCTTAGCGACAACTGCTGGAGGTCCACCAACATACTGTATAACATAGTCTAATAACACAGAAGCCCATTGACCATCAGCCACTCTCTGTTACAGTGGCTTACAGACCCTCTGCCCCCTGGGCTTAAAGTAAACAGGTGTCTTTGCGACAACTGCTGGGACCACTTATACCCCAATTTGCATTCTCAAACAGCCACAAATTGCTGGCATTCCTCAAAATGCCAGCAGGTCTTCAACACAGCATTCCAAACACCACACAGTTTCAAAGGTTAGACAAAGATTTGGTTTCAATTGTTTTTTCAATCAGGAATAGGCCTAGCACAATAGGCCTGAACTATGCAAATGACGGTTAAAAAAGCAAGTAGTGAAGTAGAGTGTGGGGGACACTTTCACTAGAAGACCCTGCGCTACCAGTGTCAAAGGGAGCAGAATGGCCACTGTCATAGAATTAGGAATTAGAATAGTCATTTAATAGGATCTCTATGGCCACTGTCATAGAATTAGGAATTAGAAGTCATTTAATAGGATCTCTATGGCCACTGTCATAGAATTAGGATAGTAATTGAATAGGATTTCTATGGCCACTGTGCTCTCTCTGACCTTATATTTGACCCCGCTGGCCTTTAAGATACAAGGGCCACGTCACCACTGACCTCCAGCCATCTCAGTCAACATACACTGTCACAAAACAGGAGGAAAGTTCAGGAAATGTTTAGAAAATTATTTTGCCCTAATAACAGGTTTAATCATTTTGTCCCTTTAATGACTTTTGACCACTGACCAGTAACAGCTGCTACTGACAGGCTTCCTTCAGCCTTGGCAGAGAGGGCCAGGTCGGTGAGGAGCAGCAGCAGGAGTGTTGTGGTCCATGGGGCCAGGGTAAGGACCTGGAGGCAGGCAGGAGAAAGGGAGAGACCCTCATGGGACGGGGCCAGCTGTTGGGCCAAGCAAACCCATTGCCCAGGCCTGACAACTCCCCCGTCAGCCTGCCCCATTGTGAATGGTGGCTTGGCGGCTTCTGTTAAAAACATCAAATATTTGACGAGGCCTCCATGCTCATGTCTGGGATGCAGGGGCCCTCTCTCTTACAGCTGAATGGACAAGATGAGACAGTGGGACACGTGCAGGCTGGCCTGGGTAACACACGGAGCCTGTTTTGATCAAGCTCGCTAAATGTCTTATTTAAAATGCACATGAAATTCACTCACCAGTGGTAGGTAGCTAAGTTAGCTACATTAGAATCAGCAGCACTTATTTGGTGGTCCTTACATGCTCCTCTGATGCTCTAGTCTACAGTGACAACAGCTGTTGGGCGTGGCATTCGACACAAAGTTGGTTAACTAAAATTACTAATAATTGACAGCTACAAAATGATAACGTTTGTAGGTTAACGTTACCTAACTAGTTAGCTAGCATTGACAGGATGACAGACTGCCTGCAGCAATGCTGATTCCTTTTGAAGTTCGACGTGCAACTCATACCAAAATCATGATACAGTCAGAACCACCAGTAACATCGTCCAAGCTAGCTACATACAAACGTCTAGTCAACTTTATGGCACTTGTATATGTGGCCCAAACTTGGAACATTTCTTATCATGAAACAAACCTTTGTCATGATGCAGTTCAGCTGCTGATGCTTGACATAAACATCCGGCTCGAGTTGTCTGGGAGGAAGCTAGAGCAGACAGGCTTGAGCTGGGAGCAGTGCGTGGAACAGGGTCATCTTGTGGTGAGCTGACAGAAGTACAAGGAGTCTTCACTTGAAAATAAATTAAATGGGTTAAATTATGGAAATGTCATGCAACATTTACTTGGGGTTCCTCTACATATGTTTGTATAAATGTTATCATATTTGGAACACTTAAAATACAATATATCCATAATGTTTCTTAGGCTCAGATTAATTTGACATTCAACAGACATTCGATTTATTTACAGCCACACATTTATTTCACACAATCGAGAAGACTGAACAATATGTTAAAGGGATACAAAACTACCCCACACAATTTGTAAATTACTTAGGATTTTATTCAATGGAAAAAAGACCTTCAGGAAAATACAATAATTCCCATAATACACAGAGGACATAAATTAGAGTAGCATGGTAGAAACACTTGAGGAAAACATGTCACCTGGCACCTGGGCAGCAGAGAACATTGTCACAACGTTGTTGCAACGTTGCCACAGCCAAGGGCACACGTGTGTTTTCCAGGAAAATCAGTGATTCAAACTCAGAATTGTGTAATTTTTGAAAAGTGATTGAACGGAGGTCAAGGGTTATTCCTGTACATGAACCTCCAAATGATACAAAAGCTAAAAAAAGGGAGGATTGCCCTAAAATAAACCATAAATATTTATATTGATGCACATTGGTTTAACAAAACATTGCCTCTGTAAACATTTAACGTAATGTGTGCATTACAATTTTTTTAAACCACTGCAGTCGCATAATTATCATAAGGGTAATAAAAATTACAGAAACAAACTAAATCTAGGAGTTAAAAATGTTGCTTTTATCGATACTTTCTGTAGTGGTTTGTAACACTTAAAATGTGACTTTTGCCATCTTGGCATGCACCGCTTTTCACAGATTTGCAGAGAGGAAAAAGCATCTCATTTCTATATTATTACAGCGTTTCGTTCTTTAGAGAGGCCTGGATTCATCTCACCCAAACAGGTTGTGACAGTCCACTGTAAGAGGGTCAAGCGTTGTAGGGACATGTAACCATATGACCTTATGATTTACATTCTTTAAAAAAAAGTTTGTCCATACACACATACAAAGAATCTAACCAGGGTGCCAGTCTCTCAGAAGACAAGGACAGTGGAGCTCCTTGCTGCTGCTACAGACTGGCACCCAGGCTAACCAGGAAACATGACAAAACAAGTGCAGTCCCATTTTTCACTAGTTGGATCAAGAGGAGAGAGGAAAACAAAAGAAATAAAACCAGGAGCTGCTGGGGTTTTGAGAGGCTTCCAGGTTGTTGTCGTTTTGCAGTGGTGTGTCGCTTTAATCCATAGCATACTACTGCCTGGACTGGGACAGACTGTACAAAACAAAATGGCCGCTTCTGCCCTCAGAGTGAAGATAATAAAATAATGCAGACAAACTGAGGGGGTGAAGCTACCCGACTATGGTAGTCTGTCAGTGTTAAAGAGTCCAACATCGAATTACAGCTATTTCACAAAATGTATCAAAATGGGGGACCCATGCTGCTTCATAATAGTTTTTACATTTAATAATTCAATCTCACTCAAATGTCAGATTTTTCTACATTTCCTGTAGGAGTTATGAGCAAAACCTAATGCATTTGTCACGACAGATTGTACAAGTAGGGACAAACAAACCTGAATTCAGTGGAGGGGCCCATTAAAATGAAAAACAAACAAATCAACCCGTTGGTTGCTGATACATTTGGATATGTTGTGGATTTTAAAGCTTCATCTACAAATCTTTCAGGTATATTTAATCTTGACACTTGTTCCATTGAATACCCTGGTCATCATGCTACCAAATGGTGGGTCAAAGTCACGACTCATGACCAAGACCGAGTCTACTGTACATATCAAGCCATTCACAGTTTGCCCAACACGACCAAGGAGAGGCAATGTGGCATGTTAAAGTTGAGGGAGGCTGGAAAAGACCCTCAGGAGTATATGGGACTGGAAAGGCCCCTATAAGGTTGCAGTGTCCTATTAAGGGTTAAGTCGACATCTTTGATTCAACTTTTCTATAGTTTAACCCTGTTTTAACCCTTATCAAGAGTAAGGCCAGAGTGAAAAAGAGACCAAAGTTAGATTTTCAATGTCAAGCACGACCCATTTGAAAATGTAACCATGTGGTGGCAACGGTATGTCAGTCAGAGGAATTGATCTAAGAAACGCTCAAAACAGAAGTTGACCTGAACATGACCTGGACTAAACACAACAACAAACTACTGTATGACCTCTGACCTGTCTGGTGCTAAAAGGTTCCCTTCCTCCGCAACAGTCTCTTTCATCCTTTGTTCTTTTCCTCCCTTTCCATCCTCCTCTGTCACACACACACATCTCTCTTCCTCCAATAGAGACACATTAACATCTACTAGTGTTTTGAATAAGTTGGGCTCAGATCCTTACTCCATGGTGGTGGTGCTGCAGGAGGTGGGGGAAGGCTCAAATATGGTTTGGGAGCGAGAGCCCAGGAAAGCTGACGACGTTGTCTGTTGTCAGAGCAGAGTGGCCAATGGGCATGATGAAAGCGCCACCATCTGACACAAACAAACACAGTCCCATCAGCCTATAGGGACCCTGTGGCCTCCCCTTCATGATTTCAGTCCGTTTATCTTGCAATTGTCTTTTCTTATTTGAGACAGGTGATTTTAAGGTATCGCGCCGCCTCAGAGCTCAGTGAAGCTCGGTACTCCAGTTGTACGTCAAGTTGAAGATCTTCATTGTCATGAGTCATCATTATGGTGGTAATAAACCGAGGGGTGCTGTCTTCATGGTGCTGGGTGTACACTACCAGCTAAGCAGGGAGGTACGGCCTAGTGTCATGAAGTAGACCTGGCTGGAACCTCCAGAGCGCACCGACGCAAAGAACACCTGCAGGACATAGACATAGAGAGAGAGTGTGATAGAGAGAGAGTGTGAGAGAGAGTAGTATCATTATCGACATTGATGAACATCTCTAAGCAAGTAAGCAAAGTTTGTGTGTGTGTTGTACGCAGAACTCACCTTGTCGTTCCTTTCACACAGGAACTTGAGTCTCTGGGCTCTCTTGTGCATGAAGACCCCATCCAGGTGTCCTGTCTCCACAGACCTGATCTCTATGGCCTTCTCCCCCCAGCCCATGATCTGGTTGGACCTAATGTAGGCTACACACACAGATGGACAATCAAGTTAGTAAGAAAGTATGTGTGAGTGTTTATTGAAATGTCCTTAAATGAAAGGTATAAAACTTAGTTTCAACACAAGCCACTCCTGTGTGTGTCTTAAACATGTTTAATGTGTGTGTGTCCCAGTGTGTGAGGGTTACGTACCCACTGAGGTGGGCATCTCGCCCCACTGCAGGACCACGTCTTTGGTGATGCGTCCGTAGGTGTTGACGTAGACGCCCTCATCCTCATAACACACCAGCAGCTCAATGCCATCCGTGTTGGGCAGGATGATGATGGCATGGGACTGTATATTGGTCTGGATCTAAAGGGGCAGAGAGAGGCAGGGAGGGAGGGAGGGAGAGAGAGAGAGAGAGAGAGAGAGGGAGAGAGTTAGAGGGTAGACAGGGTGAGTGAGTTTGAGGGTGGGGGGGTGAGTTTGAGGGTGGGGGGGGTGAGTTTGAGGGTGGGGGGGTGAGTTTGAGGGTGGAGGGGGGAAGAAGTGGGAGAGAGGGGGGAGAGAGCAAACAGTCAAAGGAAAAGGTTAGTCTCGGGTCGTATTCATTAGGAACTTAGCTGAAGAAAAAAAGTGACTGAACCAAGGAGGGACACCTGTACTTGCCCAATAAGAAACACTTGTTTTCGCTTTCCGTTGAAAAATGTTTTAAATATTTTTACTACAGTGTGACCTAATGAATATGCCCCCAGATATATGGGCTGAATCGCAAACCGAAGACTTGGCCCATAATTCCTTTATCGAGTGGCCACTTGCTGTTGTGTTCGACAGTGATCACTAGAGTCTGCCAGTGTTTTGGCCAAAATGAGCATCGAGACGATAAACGCGAAGTCCCAACTGCAACTTTTCTAAATCCAATTGCGAGCGTTGTCTCCTGCGATAGTTTGACAGCTTGCTGAATGATGAAGTTGTAGACATGTTCCCAGTAGTCAGTTCGCACTTTAGCATGTTTCCAAAGCACCAATCGCTACGTTGGGTCAGCTAAACACACAGCGCAGCAGCAGACTCGATAAATGGACTGACTCGGGGCAGAGCATGCCGTTTGCTGCTTCATTAAAACTTGTTCATTGTGATAAAATGTTACTACAGTAGCTAGCTAACTTGCTTATGGAAGGAGCACTGCATTTAGTGTTGTACTAACTAGTTAGTTTGCTTCTCTTTCGTTTCATATGAAGTGACTGGCTCAGGCTTAGCTAGCAAGTTAATAATGGACAAGTTTGTGTACATGATCAAACTTCAGAAATACACTAAACTCCTTAGCTAGATGTAAAATCCTGTGACTAAGACCTCCTCGAAATTAAACTTTATTAAATTAAAACAAAATTATTAAATGTATTGATTTAGCTTGACTTATTCAGAAATTGTTTGAGGGCGAGGAAGTAGTGACTGTTGTTGCTAGGTAACATGCTAAGATTCATGGGAAGAAGTTGCTGCCAAGGGCGCAGAGTCGGCATAGGATGCCCACTTGATAAAGAGGCTTCCGAAGGGCGCAGTGGAGCCCTCGATGATTAGCGTTTGAGATTGGCTCGATTGACTTTGGAACGCGCATATCGAGTGGTCAAAGTGTTCGGCTTGAGATTCAGCCATGGATTGGTGGAACAGAGAAAAACAGGAAGCAGAAGAACGAGACAGAAAGAGATGGATAATAGATGGGTCTCTTACGTGTGTGGGCAGGTAGATGTCGTACACCGCCCCAGAGTCCACGTCCACGGCGTGGAAGCCGTTGCTGGAGCCGTAGATGACCTTTAACCTCTGACCCTCCTCCACCGTCAGGTCAACCAACAGGGGCTTGTGCACCAGGTCACCAAACGACTGCAGGAGGAAGACAAAGTTACAGAACGTGAATGTAAACCAATGCCATGGTGGTCCGACTGCAGTCTGTGCCAGTTTACTGTACCTTGAAGGCCATGAACTTGTGGTACGGCTTGGGCGCCCATGCATAGACCTCCACAGAGTTCTTCAAGGCAAGGACCAAGAACTTGATCCTCTCATATTTCACTGAAATCAAAGAGACAAGATGTTTTTATTTCTGACCGCTCGTCAAGATTGGACTTGGACCTGCTACAGCCTTGTAACAAGTGAAAAGTGTCATTCCTGATGGTAAAGGGGGAGTGGAACGTACCGACTTTGTAGTGCACGCAGCCCTCCAGCTCTCCTACAGTGACCCAGCCCTGCTTCTTCTCAACCTCTGGGTCGTTGTGCAAAATCTTGTTCCTCAGCCATGACAGGTAGTACACACGCAACTTATTCTTCTTCCCTGTGTGTGTGTGTGTGTGTGTGTGTGTGGTGAGGGAGAGAGGGAGATAGAAAAACAAGAGAAATTGAGAATGATTTGGAGTACAAGGATGAGTCAGGAGAGTGTGTGTGTGTGTCCGTGTACCTCCGTGGTCCGTACCTGATATAGTGACCAGGACATTGAGTCCCTCCAGGACGTCCATCTGTTGGATGCGCCGTCGGCTGATGAGGGGGTAGACCTTCCCCTGACCGCTACGGTCCAGCAGCATCAGACCACTCTCTGTCCCCACCAGCAGGTTGACACCTGGGGGAGGACAGGGACACACACCAGTCAGAACCCAGGGAGAGGACAGGGACACACACACCAGTCAGAACCCAGGGAGAGGACAGGGACACACACCAGTCAGAACCCAGGGAGAGGACAGGGACACACACCAGTCAGAACCCAGGGAGAGGACAGGGACACACACACACCAGTCAGAACCCAGGGAGAGGACAGGGACACACACACCAGTCAGAACCCAGGGAGAGGACAGGGACACACACACCAGTCAGAACCCAGGGAGAGGACAGGGACACACACACCAGTCAGAACCCAGGGAGAGGACAGGGACACACACACCAGTCAGAACCCAGGGAGAGGACAGGGACACACACACACCAGTCAGAACCCAGGGAGAGGACAGGGACACACCACACCAGTCAGAACCCAGGGAGAGGACAGGGACCACACACACCAGTCAGAACCCAGGGAGAGGACAGGGACACACACACCAGTCAGAACCCAGGGAGAGGACAGGGACACACACCAGTCAGAACCCAGGGAGAGGCAGGTCTGCCATGATTTTCAATGAACCTATGATGGATTTCCTATCATTGTATCTATCCATTCATCCATCCAATCAGTATATCACCCATCCATCTATCAATTCTATCCTTCTATCAATTCGATCCTTCTACTCATCCACCCACCCACCTCTCCCTCGCTCTCTCAGGTACATACCCCATAGTGCAGCACACAGGATCTCAGAGTTGAACCTCTTCTTGTACTTGCGGATCTCCGGCGTGTCGCTCTGGGGGCGTGTGTTGACCGGGTTCACATTGACCACGGAGCCCTTACGGGACGGGTCAGCCCTCAGGGCGTCCGCCAGCCGCCCGTCGTTCCCAAAGGCCGCTGTGGACACCAAAGGTCAGAGGGAGAAGGGGCGTGGCTTTGCTTTGACATTAATATCCCTTGATGATCATGCTCTGTATTACACTTCCTGTGCCAAGCAGTGGCTTCATGTTCTATGTATAGTTCAGGGCATACTAACGCCTAGTTACTGACCCAGAGATGATTCTATTGTTTAATACATAATGGATAAGATGAGGACTTGGGAAAAGAGAGCTGATCCTAAATCAGCTGTGTAGGGTAGAGGAGGAAGAGGAGGCGACTCACCCATGTTGTTGAGGGAGCTGCCGCTGGAGGGGGAGACCTGCAGGAGGCGCGGGTCGATGAAGGGGGTGAAGGAGGAGGAAGACTTGTGTTTCTGCATGGTGTTGCTGGCCGATTGGGTCTGGCGACACAGGGCGGGAGAGTGAGAGAATAACACACACAGTGGATAGATACAATAATTTGTTGGGTGCTTATTTTTGTCCTGTTTCAAGTGTGTATTATACGCATGTGTGAAATGGAAATGAGTTTTTTGCATATCCCAACTCCCCCTGAGACACCCTCGGAGAGTGGGGTCACGGCCAGGGTCAGCCATTATCAGTCGTGCAATTAGGGTTAGGTGCCTTGCTCAGGGGCACAGATGTTTTTTACCTTGTCGCCTCTGGGATTCGAACTAGCGACCTTTCGGTTACAGGTCCAAAGGCTAGGCTACCTGCCGCCCTAAAATATCCCCATCTACCTGTAACTCAACCTATTCTGCTACACTATCAGTATTGCCTGAGCCTATATCTTCTTGGCTTCATACTGTAAAATATTACAATATTATTTATTGTATAATACTTTAACCCAGCAGGGGGAGCTATGGCAGCTGCAGTGATCTCAGCAATGGATCCATTTTACTGCACTCATGACTTTCTAATGGTAGACATGTTTATTGCTGGGCTAACAATAACGTCATAAGGCTGAATAGGATTTATAGTTGCCCATTAACAGTACAATAGGAAGGGCCTGCAGGCTTTACCAATCTAAAACTAAGAATCACTCAGACCTGTGTTACAGGTCATAGGGCTTCATAAAACAGTCTCTACACTGGGTTCTGTTACGATACACTGTACATCAGGACATTTCTCATCATCTGGTAATCAAACATGACATCTACTACTCTACGGACGGCAAAAACAAAACCATAAAACACACAAAATGCATGGGAAGATTTGACATGCAGTTATGTTGTTGGAAGCAGATACGAAAAACAAGCTTAGTGACTTAAAAGGAAACTAGAAAGTAGAACCAACATGGAAGACAAAACAAAGATGGTGTGTTCAGGAAAGAAACAGAAATTCAGAGAGAAATGGGATAAAATGTGATGAAATATGAAAAAGTCAAATTGCCAGTGTAAAGCACACAGATTTGATCAAACACCACCATCAAAACGCAGCAGTTTATCATTGGGCTAAAAGTAGCCGCGTTGTTCAGTGTCTTCCATGATAGTAGAGTTATCCTGCTAACACACACCTTTAGTTGGGTAGTAAAATCCATACTAGCTAGGGTTGTCCAAAAGCACCGCACACCAAGCATGCTAGCTACCACCCAGGCACAGCCTACTACTAAACTGCTAGAGTGAAATGGCATCAAAGCACTAGGGCCATGGAGAGATGGGAGATGAAGTCCAACGAGGTGTTCCACAACCTCTCAACCCCTGACAACATGGACTATATAGACTTCACCTCCCAGCTTGCACCTGGGCAAAGTGTTTTACAAACGCTCTCTAGACTTGTAAAGCCGCTTGCTCATTGCTAAGGTCCCACACTAGGAGGCGCTAGTGTTAGAGGCAGTGCTGTGAGTAATATTCAGAAGGTGCAGCAGCTCAGAGATAGTCAGTTCAGTTCAGTCAGCCAGCCAGCAGGGGACAGAGTAGACGGCTTAAGTGACAGGGGACAGAGCAGGAGGCAGGGGACATACCTCGATGGCAGTGAGCTTGTCCAGGGGGATCTGGGGGGACATGGCTGGGCTGACAAGGCTGGAGGAGGAGGGGGAGTTGGAGATTGAAGAGGAGGTGGAAGAGGTGGGGGAGTGGTGGCTCTGCTGAATAAGGTCTGGCAGCAAGTGAATGCGGCCGGCAAAGCCGTTTTTCTCCTGGTGACCGTTACCAGGACCGTGAGGAGTGTGTGCTTGAACGGCTTGACCGTGAGCCGCACTGGGACCGGAGGAGGATGAAGAGACATTGACCGGCGGGCGTTTTTTGTCGCCCACGCTCTGTAACCAAGAACAACCTCAACTTGTATCTCATTGTTTTCCCCTAGCTAACTGTACATGATAGTGTGCTTTACCAGCAAACAAAGAGACTCAAAATAACTAAAGGAAATCAAACAAGATGATAACAACTGAAACGGGAAGTGGGTGGGGGGGGGATATATGAGTTACATTTACTACTACTACAGACAAAATAGGAGACATGATAACAACCAGAGGGTCTTCTGCAGTCCTACCTGTCTGATGACCAAGGTGCCATCCTTGGAGGGTGTGGTGAGGTCGTTCTCTGAGTCGTCGTGGGCCAGCAAGGTCTTCAGGGATGCAGTCTCTCCGTTACTCAGCCCTCTCCTGGTGTAAACAGTACGTCTCATATTAAAACTCCAATTATAAAAAATACATGGGCACTTATATATATATATATATATATCACACTTTTCAATTACCCAAATTACTCACCTCATTACAAGTCTTTCTATGCTATATAGTATATATTATATGATCGACTTTTCATGTTGATATAACATCAAGGTATGCCGCCCGATCCATCTGAAAGCCTTTCTTTAGGGCATTATCACTAAAGCCCAGAGTTCATAAAGCGTCAGAAAGTGCTGATTTAGGATCAGTTTTGCCTTTCAGATCATAATGAATGAGATTACATGGACGGGGGGGAACCTGATCCTAGACGCTTTGTGAATACAGGCCCAGGTCAGAGTTGTTACATACCCGGCCCTGGTATCCTCTGCTCCCGAGGTGGACTCGTCTGCTGCGTCCTGGTCCACTTCTTCATCATCGTCTTCGTCGGTGGTGCCGGACTCCTCGCTGGAGGAGGAGTAGTCGGTCACCTTGTGGGGCCGCACATCCTCCACCGCCCGCAGCTCTTTGGCCAGGGCTGTCAGGTCCTGGAGGTCAGGGGTCAAATAAGGCTCTGAATATTTTCAATACTCCCTTTCCTAATGTCGTCACTGATCTAAACCATGTCAGATCACTGACTACTAGTCTTACTGGGTGGGGGATGCATTGTCAAAGGATTGAACCGAGGCAAGGAGGGGAGAATCATTCCCCATACATTAAGGCCATAACATTAACCTCAGTTAAGAGCTAGCCAACACAGGCTGCTGAAAACAGTCAACTTATGATGTGGCAGGTGAAGACTGGACTGGTGATAGAGTAAGAGCAACTGGATTGGGACGGAGCAGGCAGGAGGCAAGAAGACAGCAGGGAGAGGGGTGGGTCAGAGGTGCATCGTCAGCCAATCACATGGCAGCCAAGGAGAGGAGGACCAATGACTGGGAGGCAAATGGAAGAGCGATGGAATTGGGCCCTGAGCTTCTCACAGGACAACCTTCTTCTGAAACGGTTTAACATACATGGTGCCCCAAGCAGTGTGGAAATAAGCATAGCGACAGAGCATGACATGTCATATTCTTACACACGCTTACCACGTCACCCTATACAATTCCCCCCATAATCACATCGTTGGAGTAATGGGATGCCACAGGTTGTCGTGTCATGGCCCATAGGGAACACCAAAAGATAAGACAAGGGGATAAAGTCAGTCAGTCATACAGACTCCACCACACGGTTACTGTAGCAGGCTGCAGTGCTGGCCTGGTTTCCAGCCAGTTGCAGGGACCAGTACTACAACAGGATGTGTTTACAGTCATAAGAGACAGGTTCTTACGGCTGGCCGGTTGGGTCGGGCAAAGTCCTTCTTGTCGTCAGGCTTTTTGGCAGCGTTGTCGGGGCGTTGCAGTGGGGAGCCCTCAGACTTAGACGATGCTGGAGGAGAGGATGGTAAACAAACGTCAGTGGAAGACATACACGATACTAAATGCAGTATTGTGCATCCATTATACTGTGTGTGTGTGTGTGTGTGTGTGTGTGTGTGTGTGTACTCACAGCGTGCTCTGAACCTCTCCCCAGAGCCGGCCTGGGAGCTGGAGTTGGAGGAGCCAGAGGAGCTGCCACTGCCGGGCCTGGGAACCAGCTTCTCCACTCGGTCCCACAGCAGACGTGGCTCCGCATTACTGGAAGACACACAACACAGGAGAGAAATGAAAAACACACACACACTTCCCCATAACCACCCCGCAAACAACTGAACTTATTCCAAACACCACACAGGGTTGACCACCTACCTGCCGGCGCTCCTCTGTACTGCCTGGTTGCTAGGCGGGGCAGAGGCCTGGAGAGGAGAGTCTCTGCGTGACAGCACAGGGGACCTGGACGTTGTCCTCACTGGAACCTGTGGTAGACAAGACAGACGTCCTCACACACCTGGCTACAGGAGCATACACTAACACTACCACTACAGAGCAGATCCTGGCACCGCTGCATAGCCCCAATCCCTCTTCCCAAATGTGCATTCTACCCTCCAACACCAAATGGATCATTTTATTAATTCTACAGAGAAGACATGGATATCGGTAATAAACTCAGGACGGGGAGGGGGGGGGGGGGGGGCGTCTGTTACATTAGTGAACAGAGTGAACATGATGGGCATGCATGCTGTACACAGTGAAGTATTAGAAGAGGAACAACTCATGATGCTGTCCAGGACCATATGGTGTGTAGTTAGCCAGTGGAAGCACAGCATTGATTGAGTTAAGCTAGTTACTATAGGGACTCCAGTACCGTACACAGGGACAATTGCAGCTACAAACAGGAGTTATTCCTCGAAGATGGCTATCAATCACTGATATACTACTGAACCAGACTACTAGTCTAACCTACCTTATTGTAGATCTACCCTATGCTGTGGGACATAGCCTGATAATAGTGAAGGCAAAAGCCCAAAGTGCAATCCCACTGGTGTTGGATGGGACACCCAGAGAGGCTGTAGACATGGCTATCTTGCCCCTGAGAGGGGACCACGGATAAGGGCTGGAAAAGGGGGTCCCCTGGGCTGGCCTTTCTTACCCTGGGGGGCACCTCGTCGCTGGGGCCCGAGGCGGGGGGCTGGGTCGGGGGCTGGGGGTCAGTGCGTGCAGGTGATGGTGCAGCAGCAGAGGGGTGATGGTGGTGGTTGTGGGGCTCCTGGGAGCGCAGATGGAGATGTGCAAAACTAGGAACCACGGGTTCACTGAAGGAATGGGAGCGAGACACGACGGGGGGCGGGGCGACGCTGCTGCTCTTAAGAGCGGCCAGGTGGGACCACTGGACCTTCCAGACAGACAGACAGACAGAGACACACAGAGGGGAGAGAACAGGGGGGAGGTAGGGGGGAGGGGGAGAAGGTCAGACCACAGAGTGAAGGCACAGAGATGAGGATGGGCATGGCTAAAAACATATGCATATACATGTAACATATGCATATAATAGACATGCATTGCACATACACAGACGTCATGCAGTCAGACGTATACGTACAAAAGTGACAACAGAAACAGTCAAAAAGGTTCACGCACATAAACATTGAAACTTACAGAGAAGACAAATAACAGGACAACAGATAGTTAAATGGCACAGTGAGAGGGTGAGAGGGGCACAGAGATGAGTGAAGGGGAGCCAAGCAGCCAATCACATGCATCCTCCTCTGGCATCCTGGGTAATGTTTATGAACCATTTATCACACCACTGAAGGGACAACCTTTTGCTCAGGCCAATTCATGGGAGGTTCCAGAAATCCCATTCTAACCCATTATGACATATAACATCATAACAGATGAGTAGATATACTGACATGGTGGAGCTTCTCATTGTTTTGGGACCTCTACTAGCTCATCCACAGAGACGCATCATTCCATGTCTGTATGTGTGCTAGATGTCTTGCCTTGCTGTCAGATAACCTACTGTTGGGAGAGAGGTAGATGGAGGGAGATGGGGAGAGGAGGAAAGGAAGGATGAGGGGTTTACCTGTGGTTCCATGGGCCGGTGCATGGCAGGCGGGACAGACTCGGAGGAGGAGCTGCCGTTAGAGAAGGGTTCGGAGCGGGGGGGGACGGGGGGCTGCTTGGTGGGTGGGGCTGTCTGGGGGGAGCCCTGAATGTTCTTTCGGAAGCGCTCGTCGGCCTGGGAGCGCAGGACAGACAGACAAAGACAGACAGACGGAGTCAGTGAGGATCAGTGGGGTCAAGGTTGAGGCATTAACTCAAGGAGAACGAGGAAGGGTCAACACTGAAGCCGACAAGCCGACGCCTTGTTATCGACAGGGAGGGAAAGTCTGCTGACATGCACACGAGCCCACCTCAAGGCAGCTGTACACAGACAGTCAGTTAATGACATCCTCCACCTCCAGGGGAGTCATCCCAGAGAGCAGTCTTTCTCTGGGACCCAGCAGCACACATACGTTAGTGTGGGCCTCAGCTGACCACATGCATGACACCCTCTCCAGTCACTTACCTGAAGAGTACAAGGCACAGCCGCATTACAAACCATCACGCTTATTTAGTAGGTATGTGAGTCGAAGACAAGCGCTGGAACCCTGACTATATGCTTTTCATCACTGCAGCAGAGACAGCAATACAACTGGTAATTCACAAGAATATGTCAAGTACTGACAGCTTCGACTCACCACCACCAAACTTTACTGCTGAAGGCTACATCAATTGAAGCCCATTTATTTAAATATTTGTGTTACCTTCAGGTATGGCAACTCAACTGTGAATGCATATGAAAGAAAAATAGATGATTTTTCATGAAATAAATTATAACTGAAGAAAATGTACCGTGTTTTGCGTAATCAACCTATTTGGTCCTAAACGCAAAATGATGTTGACAGATACAGCTAGCAGTGCTTCAGTCTATACTTAGTATTTTTCTTGCTCAGTCCTCTCAAGATTCGGACACGTCATCCTCAGAGGTTTTAGTAGAGAAGCATCAGAGAGGCAAGCAAACACGAGAGCCAGAAGTAAAGAAACACAGCTCTGTTTTAGTTCAGTTTTAGAGAGGCGGTGGTTGTGAGCGACTGGTTTTCTTTTCTCTGACTGTCCTCTCCTCTTAGCCGAAAGGTAAAACAAAATGGTTGGCTGAGTGGTCTATTCACTAATCATTTTGTGTAGTGCCACCGAATCAGAAACAGACAACGACAATATGTGGTTCTCCAAGTACGGTAACGTTATAGACCTCCAGTTGCTTAGTCCAATATGAACAGACGTAGGCTATTTTGTGTCGCACACATTAAACGTAGTGCTACATTGGACTATGTGAGGTATTAAACCCTATTTTAAGACGATAACTGAAAGGAAAAAGAAAACCATAGTTACAACTCACACCACCAGGACTAACATAACACGCTGTGTGGAGAGAGGGCAGGCAGCTAGAATAGAAGCAGCAGGCAGCAGGAGGAGGAAGTGATGTCGTGTTGGGGTTCACCTCTCTGATTGGCTGAGGATCACCGAGAGCGTCGCTAGGCTCCGAGCGGTCTGTCTGTGGGGACTTGGGGCCGTCTGGGCCCTCGGTTTGTGGGGGTTTAGTAACGTCTGTGGACTGAGTGGCTAGGGCATCGCTATTGTCAGGGGGGGTCTTTTCTGAGTCTTTATCAACACTGTCTGGGGACAGTTTTTGAGGGGCCTTAGTAGTACTATCCTGGGACATGGTTTGTGGGGACTTTGTGGTATCCGAGGACATTCTCCGTGGGGCATTAGCAGTAACATTGTCCAGGAACTGGGTTTGTGGGGACCTAGTGTTATCGGAGGACGTTCTCCGTGAAGCGATAGCATTAACATTGTTGAGGAACTGGGGTTGTGGAGCTGGGGCTCGATCGCCATCGGGGCCTGGGCACGTTGTCTGAGGGGCTTTACTAGTACTGTCGGGGGACATTCTCTTGGGGTCTTTAGTCTTTTCGCAGGGCTGCGGCGGCTGTGTCTGCTGCGGGGGTTTATTGTCGTGCTGGAGGGACAGCAGGTAGGCCTGCTCCTGCTGCAGACGCTTGTGGAGACGCTCTGCCTTCCGCTGCTCCTCCAGCTCCCGCCATTTGAACTCCTGATGCAGAGTGCGCGGCTGAGTTGAGGCACATTAGACATGGGGGAAAGTGGCTAATGGCATGTATAAGCTAATGCTACCTTGGGGCAAATTCTATTAAATGAAGCACTTGTGGAGGAATTCTATTAAATGAAGACTGATTCTATAAAGATGAAGGAAGATTGATAAAGTACAACCTACAAATAAAGTCTTCCTTAAAAATGTAGATGATTTCATTTCATTACCCACAAATAAATGAATGTTACAACCTTCTTTAGCGAGTAATAGAAATCAAGTTGAGGATTGGGTGAATAGTGTGGAATGGTTCAATTTATGGGAAGCAAGATAAAATGGTGAATGCTGAGCAATAAAGAAACAAAAAGGTGAATTGTATATATATATATATATATATATATATATATATATATATATATATATATATATATATATATATATATATATATATATATATATATATATATATATATATATATATATTATATATATATATACACACACACACACACACAGTATCAGTCAAAAGTTTGGACATACCTACTTATTCCAGGGTTTTTCTTAATTTTTTACATTGTAGAATAATCAAAACTATGAAACAACACATAAGGAATCATGTAGTAACCAAAAAAAGTGTTAAACAAATCAAAATATATTTTATATTTGAGATTCTTCAAAATATTTACATTTTTTGTCATTTAGCAGACGCTCTTTTCCAGAGCGACTTACAGTTAGTGAGTGCATACATTTTCATACTGCCCCCCCGTGGGAATCGAACCCACAACCCTGGCGTTGCAAGCGCCATGCTCTACCAACTGAGCTACACAGGGCCCTACCAATAGCCACACTTTGCCTTGATGACAGCTTTGCACACTCTTGGCATTCTCTCAACCAGCTTCAGGAGGTAGTCACCTGGAATGCATTTCAATTAACAGGTGTGCCTTCTTAAAAGTTAATTTGTGGAATTTCTTTCCTTCTTAATGTGTTTGAGCCAATCAGTTGTGTTGTGACAAGGTAGCGGGGGTATACAAAAGATAGCCCTATTTGGTAAAAGACCAAGTCCATATTATGGCAAGAACAGCTCAAATAAGCAAAGAGAAATGACAGTCCAGCATTACTTTAAGACATGGAGGTCAGTCAACATGGCACATTTCAAGAACTTTGAAAGTTTCTTCAAGTGCAGTCGCAAAAACCATCAAGAGCTATGATGAAACTGGCTCTCATGAGGACCGCCACAGGAAAGGAAGACCCAGAGTTACCTCTGCTGCAGAGGATAAGTTCATTAGAGTTACCAGCCTCAGATTGCAGCCCAAATAAATGCTTCAGAGTTCAAGTAACAGACCCATCTCAACGTCAACTGTTCAGAGGGGACTGTGTGAATAAGGCCTTCATGGTAGAATTGCTGCAAAGAAACCACTACTAAAGGACACCAATAAGAAGAAGAGACTTGCTTGGGCCAAGAAACACGAGCAATGGACATTATACCAGTGGAATTTGTCCTTTGGTCTGGAGTCCAAATTAGAGTTTTTGGTTCCAACCGCCGTGTCTTTGTGAGACGCGGTGTGGGTGAACGGATGATCTCCGCATGTGTGGTTCCCACCATAAAGCATGGAGGAAGAGGTGTGTGTATGGTGTGTGGGTTCTTTGCTGGTGACAATGTCTATGATTTATTTAGAATTCAAACCACACTTAACCAGCATGGCTATCACAGCATTCTGCAGCGATACGCCATCCCATCTGGTTTGGGCTTAGTGGGACTATCATTTGTTTTTCAACAGGACAATGACCCAAAACACACATCCAGGCTGTGTAAGGGCTATTTGACCAAGAAGGAGAGTGATGGAGTGCTGCATCAGATGACCTGGCCTCAACAATCCCCCAACCTCAACCCAATTGAGAAGGTTTGGGATGAGTCAGACGGCAGAGTGAAGGAAAAGCAGCCAACAAGAGCTCAGCATATGTGGGAACTCCTTCAAGACTGTTGGAAAAGCATTCCAGGTGAAGCTGGTTGAGAGAATGCCAAGAGTGTGCAAAGCTGTCATCAAGGCAAAGGGTGGCCATTTGAAGAATCTCAAAATTTGTGAAACACTTTTTTGGTTACTACATGATTCCATATGTGTTATTTAATAGTTTTGATGTCTTCACTATTACTCTACAATGTATAAAATAGTAAAAAAATAAAGAAGAACCCTTGAATGAGTAGGTGTGTCCAAACTTTTGACTGGTACTGTGTGTGTATATATATATAACTTATTTCCTCAGGATGTGAATGTAACCAGAGAAACATAGGAACTCCATCTTCCTGTAGGGTATATCCGAATGACTCAAAGACAATCTATGTAACAGCTAATATCAACCATATATCATACAATATAGGCATTACACCTTGCCTTGATTACCATCTATGTTCTAGAAAAGAGCTTGCTCTTAATGTGCGATCCAGTCTTGAAAACAGGGGCTTTCTCAGTGGGGTGCAACATTTAGAACGTTGTCAATACAAATGTAATAGAATAGAGTTCCTGAAACCATTCCCTGTTCTACATGACAAAGACTCATGGGTGTTCTACGTAACCAATTTCTGAATGTTCTGTAACGTTCCGCCCTCCTGAACGCGCCCCTGGAGAGTAAGAGTGGTAGGATGCAGATTGCTTACCAGGAGCATGGCCTGTTCATGGAGGAGCTGCTGCTGCAGGATCTCCAGGTGCCTCTGCTCCTCCTCCAGCTGCCGACGAATGTACTCCTGTCAATCAAACACAACGGCCTCTGTGATTGGATGAAATACAGGAAGTGACAAAACTACGCAGCATGTAGGCAAACTTGAGTGCTTCATTCATTTAAAAGAGCTACCTGCTCACGGTCGCTCCTCCTCTTCTCCTCCTCCGCCCTCCGGCGCTCGTCATCCTCTTTCCGCCGTCTTTCCATCTCCTCCATGCGCCTCTTCTCCTCCTGCTCGCGGCGGCGCTGCTCGCGCTCCTGCTGCCTCCTCATCTCGCGCTCGCGTCGCTGTTGCTGTGAGGCACCAGGAGGGGGCGACAGAGAGAGAACCTCAGGGATACGACACACAGGGAGAGCTGAAATTCTAGTTGGGATTCCCTGTTCAAAGATATTATGAGATATCACTGCTACTAGGGCAATGATTGTCCATAGTAGCAGTGATCTGAATGATTTGAGGAAAACAAGAGAGGATGGGAAGTCAAATACAGGCTTTGGTGAATTTATCAAGCGAGGAGGAGAAGATAGTCCATAGATCTAGAAATATAGTACACCTTTTATCCTTGTAATGGCAGTCTTCTCTGAATGGCAGCATGGTCTGCACCACTGTGGGCTATCCAAGTTCGCCCTCTATCTACCTCTATGGGGTGATCACAGTTTCGCTCTGTCCAATCATTGCTGCAGGATCAACCTACACCCCGCCCATTTCTTTACACAAAGCAGAACTAGCCAATCGAGTTATTCAGAGCATGCAGCACCACACACTGTCCTCGTTTTGTCCAAGTACTGGGCACACCGCTAAATTCTACATACAAGTTTCACTTCAAAATCAATGAGTTCATGTTTATTAACTCTACCTCCTCCAGTCGCCTCCTCTGCTCCTTCTGTTGCTCAATGCGTTTCTGCCTCTCTGCCAGTAGTTGGCGCTTGTACTCCTCCTGCTCCCGGAGCTGCTGCTCCTGCAGGAGCTGCTGTCGGCGCAGCGCCTCGGAGCGCTCCTTGTTCTCCTGCTGCAGCCGGATGAAGTCCTTACGCAGCGTCGACTCCCCCGGCATGTTCACGATGGAGCTGCAGGGTGGACGAGCGGATACAAGGGAATAGTGATTTAGTTCAAGGGAATAGGGAGTTAGTTCATGACTTAGTTCAAGGGAATAGGGAGTTAGTTCATGACTTAGTTCAAGGGAATAGGGAGTTAGTTCATGACTTAGTTCAAGGGAATAGGGAGTTAGTTCATGATTTGGTTCAAGGGAATAGGGAGTTAGTTCATGATTTGGTTCAAGGGAATAGGGAGTTAGTTCATGATTTGGTTCAAGGGAATAGGGAGTTAGTTCATGACTTAGTTCAAGGGAATAGGGAGTTAGTTCATGACTTAGTTCAAGGGAATAGGGAGTTAGTTCATGACTTAGTTCAAGGGAATAGGGAGTTAGTTCATGATTTGGTTCAAGGGAATAGGGAGTTAGTTCATGATTTGGTTCAAGGGAATAGGGAGTTAGTTCATGACTTAGTTCAAGGGAATAGGGAGTTAGTTCATGATTTGGTTCAAGGGAATAGGGAGTTAGTTCATGACTTTGTTCAAGGGAATAGGGAGTTAGTTCATGATTTAGTTCAAGGGAATAGTTAGTTAGTTACTGTGTCAGATGGGTGGAGTTGTGTTTAGCGATTCCAGGTGGATGTTCGCTACACTGGTGGAAAGTGAGCCGAGCTATCCCGCTATATTGTGAATTGCCAAATGAAGTGTACATAAAGGTGCAACACTAAGACATTACCTAGGCTCTCCCTCTTGCTCTGCAGCATCCTCCTCTTCCTCCTCACTCCCGCTGTACTCATATTCAGTCTCGTCTGAAAAACAATACGTGGATAGTGTGACAAGACGTACAAACAAACATGGGCTATTCAATGTAAATGTAAAGCATGTTAAAGACCCAATGCAGCCGTTTTTATCTCCATATCAAATCATTTCTGGGTAACAATTAAGTACCTTACTGTGATTGTTTTCAATTAAAATTGTCAAAAAGAAACAAAAATAACTTCTTAGCAAATATAATTTTCTCAAGCAATAATTTTTCTAGAAGTGTCTGGGAGTGGGGAGGGGAAAACTGAAAACTTGCCATTATTGGCAGAGAGGTTTGGAACTCTTTCTCATTGGTCTATTAACTAATTTACCGCCTGTTGATTTCACCAGGCAGGCCAAAACTCCATCCCACCAAAACAGGCAGAGATTTCAGGCGGTCTTTTCAAACAGCTCTTAAACTAAAAGTGCATTATCATAATTTTCACAGTATTACTTTAAGACTCTGTGATTAAACAGGTAGAGAGGCACACACTCACCTTTCTCACCCCTCTTCTTCTTGGTGCGGTCAATGTGGTCTTTGAGTTGGATGCGGACCTGCCTCTCGTTGGGCTGGTCCCTGATGAAGGGGTGCTTGAGCAGTTGCTCGGTGGGGGGGCGCTGGTTGTAGTTCTTCACCAGGGAGCCCTCGATGAAGCTGCAAAACTTCTTAGACCTGGGGGGGGGGGGGGGGTTGTTGGGGGGGAGGGAGGGAGAGAGAGGGGTCAAGACAGAAGAGGCCTCTAATGAAATTGATAGTTGTATTAACACCAGTAATCATGTAGTCTGAGGGGCTTGTTGTCTGACATAAAATAAATCCATCTTCTACAACCCACTGACAAGACAACAAATCTGACAGACTGAAACTAAACTAACCACCAAAAGAGCCTGAGAAGCTACTGAAAGAACTGAAGTGTCTGAAATAGGAAGATCCTGTTTTATCCATTTGGACAGAAATCCAGTGAGCCTTTCATAACTTATTTACAATGAATATTCTGGGAAAAGCGGTCATAATCGTAAATTCACCCGTGCCAGTGGAAAGTCTCAGAGGGTTGCGTTTTTCCCCCAGAACGAGGGCTGAGGAGCCTCGCAGTAAGCCAACGGGCCTTCCTCCCAGTGTGCCACAGCTGTTCAGAGAGGAGGGGGAGAGGAGACCTCTAACTTACCACTTCTTGGACTTGAGTCGCGGGGGAGGGTTCCTTGGGATGAGGAAGAGTGCTCGCATCGGATGCATGTCGCACAGTGCTGAAAGTGAACACACATCAGAAGGCATAAAGGAGGGAATCAGTATACACATGACAGGGAGAAAAGCAAAGACATGGGCAGAAGGAACCAATAGATCTGCCATTTAACGTGAGAGAAAAGAGATCGAGGTGTGACATGTGGAAGGCAGGTACTTACGAGGAGCTCCTTCAGCCATTTCAATGGCAGTGATTCCAGTGGACCACAAGTCACTCTGGAAGAGGAGAGAGACATCAGACATAGCGAAAACACTCACTACATCAGATACTGAAGAGCAACATACTCTACCAAGCAGACACTTGTAATCTACCCCACATTGTAGCAGTAGCTAAAGTTACCAGTAGCTAAAGATCTCAAGGAGGACATAGGTGGCAGGTTAAAACCTGGGTTCCAACATCTTAGTATTGTGTGGAAGAGGGTCTTACTCTGTAGTCGTAGGTGGCCTCAGGGTTCTCGTCACAGGCGATGACCTCGGGCGCCATCCAATAGGGTGTCCCGATGAAGGTGTTCCTCCTCCCCACCGTCCGGTCCAACTGGGCACTCACGCCAAAGTCCACTGCAAGACAACCAATCAGAAGAGACTAGTTGAAACGAGTTATATACAACTGCATTGCCGTAAACATCTAGACTAGGTGACTGGCTAAAATGGCCATGATTTTGGAGCTCTGTGATAGGCAGCTGCAGGGTTTAGACCAATCAGGGTTGTTGTCCGTAACATACAAAACATGATGTCCCTCACCAAGCTTGACCTCGGCGTTCTCTGTGAGCAGGACGTTCTGTCCCTTGATGTCACGGTGGATGACGTGGTGGGCGTGCAGGTGGGCCAGTCCCTGAAGAGGAGGAGGAGGAGGAAGAGGAGGAGGAGGAGAGAGGGAGGTGTGTAGAGATGAGACCACATGTCTAAGGCCAGAGCTGAGCATTGATGTAGGAGGGTAAAGACTTGTCCCCTTTCTATTTACTGAATAGCTTTAACATATGTATTACGCAATGAACAAGGAGACTGAAGACAGGAGAAGTAAGTTAAAGGAAATAGGAGGGGATGGAGGGGGACGGAGGAGAGGAGAGGCTCACCCGGAGGATTTCTCTGGAGATGTAGGCGATCCAGTCCTCCTTGAGCTGGTTGCCTTTAGTGTTCTTCACCAGGTCTGTGATGGAGCCCGCCCCACAGAACTCCATCACAAGCTACAGGACACAAAACACACACGATACTCAGAGTCAGACACATAGATAAGCACTTCTAAGGCTAAATGAGTGTCAAAACAGTAAAAGAGTTAGGGATATTGCTCTGATTCATGATGCTGTAGATATACCAGCTACGATGATTTAACTAAACAGCCACTGGGAAACCCTCTGGCTAGACACTCACCCATAGCTGGTCATCATGCCCCGGGGGACTCTTCTTGATAAAAGCACCATAGTATGTGGCAATGTTTCTGTGATGGGAGTACTTCTTGAGCATATTGATCTCCAGTTTGATTTCCTCCTCTTCATCCTACAGACACAGAAACCATTAGTCATTAGATAAAGAGAAAAAAAATAGAGAATGCCGCAGGAGGAAGACTTCGTAGGAAAATCACTATCGTGTGTGGATGGTTACAGATGGATAATAGTCAATCATTTCCCACATTCCTCAAACGTCAAGTCTTGTGGGGGTTGATAAGTGCCTTTGTAGGGGAGAATTAAACCCTCATTCATCCATGCCCCCTAAACAATGTGACATCTTGGCTACGCAGTACACACACTGTTCTAACGACTTCTTTGTTTGGGTATTAATGATGTGTGTATCTTGTGTGTGTATGTGTGTGTGTGTGTGTGTGTGTGATTGTGTGTGGTCCATGGCAGACAGAATCTATTATGCTATCTGTAACCCATCTCTATACGACTTAGGGGTGTGAACGTTTAAATGAAATTGAGATCCTTAACATTAAGAAAAATCCCAAACAGAAAAACTGTTTCTTTCCACAAAATTAAAATCACAGTTCAGTTATATATTATTTTCTGTGTTATAGCGTAACTAGACCATAGTCTATAAAAGGCCTGGAGAAAGTTGTGTAATTTAAATAAAACCAGAGAGGAAGAGGCGAACTTTAGGCTACTTTGGTGAATCAGGCAAGACAAGAGACAGATTACCAAGACATATGAGCACGGTTCTGCCTGCCCCCTCCGCCCTCCGCCCCCTCCGCCCTCTCCGCCCTCTCCGCCCCCTCCGCCCTCCGCCCCCTCCGCCCTCCACCGTCTCCCTCACGCTGGCTCGCCTGCTCTTTCTCTTCGCTAATGATGCGAGTGTGTACAGCATTCCACTGTGAGATGGGCCTAGTGCACGGTTGACTGTCTGCCTGGTGGCCAACCTGCCTATACTGTGCCCCTCCCCTCTCTCTCCGTCCCTCGTTATGAAAGAGTGTTTGTCTTCTAGGAATTATGGCAACTAATAGGTCTCCTCCGTTCCAAAAATACTGAATCTTAGGAGTCGATTCTTTGCGGAATCGAATCTTGACATGGGAGTCGACGTGCAAGGAGTAGAGGAATCAATTATTTTGGAGTCGATACTCCAACATTACCTCATTACGTTAAGCGACAGCAGCCAAGTCGTGTATGGCAATACTTTGAGAAGTTACATGAGTAGGAAATGCAAACTTTGCGAGGTGGAATTGAGGTACAGTAATGGTAGTCCAGGTGAAATGCTTAACCTTCTGAAAGGGACGCACCGTGAGGCCCAAACCGTTGCTGGCAGCAGCGCAGCTGCATTGTGGATTGACGAGAAATGTTACATTTTTCGTATCATTTTTATGGCAAACCGATTAACAAATTGTCCCATCCCTAACACGACTGTACATGTATACGTCAAACCCCTCAGCTAAACAACTGGTATTCCATTAGAGCCCAGGCCTACACATTATATATGTACAATTACAGGAGAGAGGAGATGTATTTACAAATCAGGCTTTTCAGCAGTAGAATGATTACAATGTGATATCCCTATTCCACACATCCATGACCTATTTTTTATTTATTTTATTTCACCTTTATTTAACCAGGTAAACCAGTTGAGAACAAGTTCTCATTTACAACTGCGACCTGGCCAAGATAAAGCAAAGCAGTGCGATAAAAACAACAACACAGAGTTACATATGGGGTAAAACAAAACAAAGTCAAAAATACAACAGAAATACATATAATATACAGTGTGCAAATTTAGCAAGTTATGGAGGTAAGGCAATAAAATAGGCTATAGTGCAAAATAATTACAATTTAGTATTAACACTGGAATGATGTGCAAGAGATGACGTGCAAATAGAGATACTGGGGTACAAATGAGCAAAATAAATAACAATATAGGGATGAGGTAGTTGGGCGGGCTAATTTCAGATGGGCTGTGTACAGGTGCAGTGATCGGTAAGGTGCTCTGATAACTGATGCTTAAAGTTAGTGAGGGAGATAAGTGTCTCCAGCTTCAGAGATTTTTGCAATTTGTTCCAGTCATTGGCAGCAGAGAACTGGAAGGAATTGCGGCCAAAGGAGGTGTTGGCTTTGGGGATGACCAGTGAGATATACCTGCTGGAGCGCAGACTACGGGTGGGTGTTGCTATGGTGACCAATGAGCTAAGATAAGGCGGGGATTTGCCTAGCAGTGATTTATAGATGGCCTGGAGCCAGTGGGTTTGGCGACGAATATGTAGTGAGGACCAGCCAACAAGAGCGTACAGGTCACAGTGGTGGGTATTATATGGGGCTTTGGAGACAAAACGGATGGCACTGTGATAGACAACATCCAATTTGCTGAGTAGAGTGTTGGAGGCTATTTTGTAAATGACATCGCCGAAGTCAAGGATCGGTAGGATAGTCAGTTTTACGAGGGCATGTTTGGCAGCATGAGTGAAGGAGGCTTTGTTGCGAAATAGGAAACCGATTCTAGATTTAACTTTGGATTGGAGATTCTTAATGTGAGTCTGGAAGGAGAGTTTACAGTCTAACCAGACACCTAGATATTTGTAGTTGTCCACATACTCTAGGTCAGACCCGTCTAGAGTAGTGATTCTAGTCGGGTGGGCGGGTGCAAGCAGCGTTCGGTTGAAGAGCATGCATTTAGTTTTACTAGTGTTTAAGAGCAGTTGGAGGCTACTGAAGGAGTGTTGTATGGAATTGAAGCTCGTTTGGAGGTTTGTTAACACAGTGTCCAATGAAGGGCCAGATGTATACAAAATGGTGTCGTCTGCGTAGAGGTGGATCTGAGAGTCACCAGCAGCAAGAGCGACGTCATTGATATACACAGAGAATAGAGTTGGCCCAAGAATTGAACCCTGTGGCACCCCCATAGAGACTGCCATAGGTCCAGACAACAGGCCCTCCGATTTGACACACTGAACTCTATCTGAGAAGTAGTTGGTGAACCAGGCGAGGCAGTCATTTGAGAAACCAAGGCTATTTAGTCTGCCAATAAGAATGCGGTGGTTGACAGAGTCGAAAGCCTTGGCCAGGTCAATGAAAACGGCTGCACAGTACTGTCTATTATCGTTTGCGGTTATAATATCGTTTAGGACCTTGAGCGTGGCTGAAGTGCACCCATGACCAGCTCGGAAACCGGATTGCATAGCGGAGAAGGTACGGTGGGATTCGAAATGGTCGGGGATCTGTTTGTTGACTTGGCTTTCAAAAACTTTTGAAAGGCAGGGCAGGATGGATATGGGTCTGTAACAGTTTGGATCTAGAGTGTCACCCCCTTTGAAGAGGGGGATGACCGCGGCAGCTTTCCAATCTCTGGGGATCTCAGACGTTACGAAAGAGAGGTTGAACAGGCTAGTAATAGGGGTTGCGACAATATCGGCGGCTAGTTTTAGAAAGAAAGGGTCCAGATTGTCTAGCCCAGATGATTTGTAGGGGTCCAGATTTTGCAGCTCTTTTAGAACATCAGCTGTCTGGATTTGTGTGAAGGAGAAGCGGGGGGGGCATGGGCAAGTTGCAGCGGAGGGTGCAGAGCTGGAGGCCGGGGTAGTGGTAGCCAGGTGGAAAGCATGGCCAGCCGTAGCAAAATGCTTGTTGAAATTCTCGATTATTGTCGATTTATCGGTGGTGATAGTGTTTCCTAGCCTCAGTGCAGTGGGCAGCTGGGAGGAAGTGCTCTTATTTTCCATGGACTTTACAGTGTCCCAAAACTTTTTGGAGTTAGTGCTACAGGATGCAAATTTCTGTTTGAAAAAGTTAGCCTTTGCTTTCCTAACTGCTTGTGTATATTGGTTCCTAACTTCCCTGAAAAGTTGCATATCGCGGGGGCTTTTTGATGCTAATGCAGTACGCCACAGGATGTTTTTGTGCTGGTCAAGGGCAGTCAAGTCTGAGGAGAACCAGGGGCTATATCTGTTCTTAGTTCTGTATTTTTTGAATGGGGCATGTCTATTTAAGATTGAGAGGAAATTACTTTTAAAGAACAACCAGGCATCCTCTACTGACGGAATGAGATCTATATCCATCCAGGATACCTGGGCCAGGTCAATTAGGAAGGCCTGCTCGCTGAAGTGTTTTTGGGAGCGTTTGACAGTGATGAGGGGTGGTCGTTTGACCGCGGACCCGTTACGGACGCAGGCAATAAGGCAGTGATCGCTGAGATCCTGGTTGAAGACAGCGGAGGTGTATTTAGAGGGTAAGTTAGTCAGGATGATATCTATGAGGGTACCCATGTTTACGGATTTAGGGTTGTACCTGGTAGGTTCGTTGATAATTTGTGTGAGATTGAGGGCATCTAGTTTAGATTGTAGGATGACCGGGGTGTTAAGCATATCCCAATTTAGGTCACCAAGCAGTACGAACTCTGAGGATAGATGGGGGGCAATCAATTCACATATGGTGACCTACACACACACACACACACACACACACACACACACACACACACAACCCCTCGAAATCACTGGTGTTTTACACAGCAATGACCTATACACACACAACCCCTCAAAATCACTGGTGTTTTTGCTTTCTGCCCCTCGGAGATGAAACTTGTTGGATGCGCGTACAAAAGCGGACATCGCTTATTCCAGTGTAAAGTTGAGCACGCCTAACCCCTTCAAGTGAGACCCACCACAAACAGCCTCCCTCCCCTCCCCCACCTCACTTGAAAACCGTGAGGAGGACAGCAAAAGGTCACCCCACCATTAGCTTGATCTCTTCCGTTGCAACAACTCGACACTGATTAACAGTGACACTAACTGAACACTCAACCAGTGTAATTCCCCATGTCTTACAGAAACCCCTGTTGGAAAGGGAGGAGTCTGAATGATGGGGACATTCGTGAATAGCAACGCAGTTACTGTGATGGTGTGTTTAAAGATGCACGTAAGTACGCAAACACAGTTCTCTTCCACCAGACGCTTCCAGTGCCAGCAGGTAGAGGCTGTCTGTTGGCTGTGCTGGCAGCCATATTGCTACTCTCCCTCTCCTCTCTCTTTCCCATGTTTCCTGCAGCTGTTTGGATCATTATTCACAGCTGTGAAAGCCTGGTCGTTAGCTCCCGTGTCACGTGAACAGGGACAGGCGGGCTGGCTGAGCACTCCTGACAATCACTGGGACAGAAATGAGGGGGGATTCACTTTCGGTTATGTCATTGTCTCTTTAGGCGGACATTTTAATTTCATTGCCGTTATCATTCAAGCGGTTAACGCAGCACCGTGTAGGTCAAAGGGTACAACAAAGCGTAGCACAGACAGGCATTTAAACTGGGAGAGCAGAGCAGAGAGCTGACTAACAGTAGAGCCCAGTACTGCCATGCTCACCTCTCACTCTCTCAGCAACAGTGTAATGGTTTCCCAGGACAACAGAGAGCTGTTGAGATAACAGGTTCTCCTCTACCTGGCAGGGTGAAGCTACATATGACTGTACTTCTGTCTGTGTATGTAATCTAGCCTATGGTGGTGAAATCTCACTATATCTATCCCTCATATCTTAGACTAGAGGCTATATCAGGGCAGGTGTATGACGACGTAACGGGGGGTGAGTGGGTCGTCACTAGCTACCACAGCCACAAAGTCATAAACCTCGCCTATTTCTACCATTTCGGTTCTTAAAATATTATTTTAAACCTAACCTTAGCCACAATGCTAACCTTATGCCTAACCCCAACCTTAAATTAAGACCAAAAACAAATGTTTGTCTATATCGTAACAATTCATGAAAACAATCTTAACTTTGTGGCTGTGGTAACTAGTAGAAACCAGGTGAGACATGCCCTATGACACCCACGGCAGGAAACGGTTGGGCAACACTCCATCAGAGTCTTACTCATGACAGTCAGCAGGGAGTGGCAGGCAGGGGGCAAGTCAGGGCATAAGCATAGAGAAACTGGTCTAGAACCAGAATGACCACATTGGCATTTGAGAATTAGGGCGACGGAATTTTACTTCGGCAATGTTTAACAGTAAACGTTATCTTAAAACGACATGGGCCACATGGCAGGCCTATACTGCAAAGGCTATATCATAAAACAAACCACAAGTTGCTTGGGTTGGGGGGGGGGGGGGGGGGGGGGTCTCATTAGGGTCTGCGTGTGTGGCCCTGCTAGTTCTATATTCACTGGGAGGTCCTCTTTCAGTAGATAAAAGCAGAATGCCATAGAGAGAGCAAAGGGCTGCCCTCCTGCCTGCCTGAAAATGACGTAATTTAACCATAAAACATCCTACTGGCTTTAGCTGTAATGATCTCTGCTTATTATACTGAGATTTACGAGCAGCTGATTATGGAGAAGTCAAAGTTTTCTTCCTGAAATGTAAATGGGACCTCGAAGACATGTAGGAATTTCCATGTGGACTAGCCTATTCTAATGATGAGTTTGCTAACTCATGCTATAACAGCCTCCACTCTTCTGGGAAGGCTTTCCACTAGATGTTGGAACATTGCTGTGGGGACTTGCTTCCATTCAGGCACAAGAGCATTAGTGAGGTCGGGCACGGATGTTGGGCGATTAGGCCTGGCTCACAGTCGGAGTTCCAATTCATCCCAAAGGTGTTTGATGGGGTTGAGGTCAGGGCTCTGGGCAGGCCAGTCAAGTTCTTCCACACCGATCTCGACAACCCATTTCTGTATGACCTCGCTTTGTGCACGGCGGCATTGTCATGCTGAAACAGGAAAGGGCCTTCCCCAAACTGTTGCCAAAAAGATGGAAGCACAGAATCGTCTAGAATGTCATTGTATGCTGTAGCGTTAAGATTTCCCTTCACAGGAACTAAGGGGCCTAGCCTGAACCATGAAAAACAGCCCCAGACCATTATTCCTCCTCTAACAAACTTTACAGTTGGAACTATGCATTGGGGCAGGTAGCGTTCTCCTGGCATCCGCCAAACCCAGATTCGTCCGTCGGACTGCCAGATGGTGAAGTGTGATTCATCACTCCAGAGAATGCGTTTCCACTGCTCCAGAGTCCAATGGAGGCGAGCTTTACACCACTCCAGCCAATGCGTGTCATTGCACATGGTGATCTTAGGCTTGTGTGCAGCTGCTCGGCCATGGAAACCCATTTCATGAAGCTTGTTGCTTCCAGAGGCAGTTTGAAACTCGGTATTGAGTGTTGCATGGCTGTGTGCTCGATTTTATACACCTGTCAGCAACGGGTGTGGCTGAAATAGCCGAATCCACTAATTTGAAGGGGTGTCCACATACTTTTGTATATATAGTGTATATCAAAGGCTAAAAATAAGTCAAGAGCTTGTACTTCCCCCAAGCAATCGAAGGTAGCATTTTCAAAGCATTTTTCTCTCTCCCAGAAATAAACATTTAGCCTAATCAGAAATAGAACAATTTATATAACACACTTTCAACAACCTTGGGTAAGGCCCTTTGTGTCAATGTCAATGTAATAACCCTGCAAAACCACCTGACGTTAGGCCATTTACCCTTTAATCTGAGGCCCAAATAAGACAATGGTTGGCTGATCTGAAAGACCTGGTTGACAAATAAACAGGCAGAGTGGGCAGTTTGTTTTGTTTTGAAATGTGAAAGGTCATCTCAGCTAGGCTTCAGACTACATTGTTTCACCAATAGACCCGGCCACGCAACATCCTCCTTGAACAACACACACACACACACACACACGGGGGTGTTACAGTTAGTCTGAACTTCTTTACCTCTGTGACGTCCATGACCTTGATGGCAGCCAGCTGTCCAGTTTTGACATGTCTTCCCTGTAGAGATGAAGAGAAAGGATAGCAGGTCAGTAATCACGAGGTCAACCGAGGGTCACAGTAATACACTGATCAGCTGGGTTAAGGTTAATACGTCTGTGTGTGTCACTTGAACTTGCAAAACATGCCTTCTCACAGTAAAACCCATGTTAGCTGTGTACATAGTGGAACAGGTGACCAACCATAGGAGTTATTTCCATAGACAACCATCATCACTTTGATTCATTCCACTGTGTAATGTCATGTGGCTGGTTAAGCCTAGCATAGATACAGCACAATCACTAGCATCCAAACAGACATAGACATGGACTGAGGCTACAATCTCTGTGCTGAACAAACATTCCCACAGTTCTCCCCTCTCCCTCAGCACCACTCACTCCTTACATAAACAGACAGAAATAGTATCTTACCCCCCCTTAGTCTCCAACCCCTCAAAACAGAGATAAAAGCTGCTAATAATTATCTGGATAGAAACCACAATGGGGATTTCCACTAGTGTGGGGCTACAGTGTGTTTTATAATGGATACAGCAGTATTGTGTTTGATGACAGAAGCAGCTGTGTATCTAAACAAGACGCGTACAAACGCACACACACTTGACGACCATCTCTGGACCATCTCCATCTAGCCTATTATGAGTGAACATTCCACAGTCAATTGAAAATATGCGTGGTTAATGACAAAAGCCAAGCAGCGTATTCTCTCCAGCTAAGGAGGAGACGAAAGCCTTCATGCCTTCACTCTCAGGACTTATAATCCTTTCAACTTTGACCCCGGGGCCGCTGTCTATAAAAACATCAGTGACATTACTTATCACTCGAGTCCCCGTCGAGACACACAAGCCTTTGGTCGAGGTGAAAGGTCACAGGTGCATTGGAGAGGTTCAGTTTTCACCCCCTGCGTCCCCCCACTCCTCTGTGTTGCCAGAAAACGCTGTCCTTAAGCATGATGCTTGGGTGACAATCTTTGGAAGAAAATGTCAATTTTATCCAGAAAATGAGGAGGAATCCCCCCTAACATTGTTGGATATGTAGGTCAATTCACTACTTGTGACGTGAATGTCTTTTTGTGCCCACTGGTTTCTCATGTCTCAGATTCAGGTCATGGGGCGGGGTGGACTAGAAAATAAAGCAGGAAGGAATGTAGGCTATAGACAGGAAGCGGAGGATGATCTATCAACCAATCGGTGTGAGATAAGGCTTCAGGAGGGTCCCCATTGCTCCAGCCAGTTCCCTCACCCATTTCAGTCCTAAACCCCCCTCCACTATCACACAACACAAACAATCACCTCACCTTCAGCCCCATCCTCCAACCCTAACCTGCTGGAGCTCTGAGCTACAGAGGCCCTGTCCGGACACAGCAGCCAGGGCAGGAGCAGACTGACTGAGGGGCATTTAGCGGGCCACCGAGGTCCCTGGTCTGATACTGTGGCCCTGGAGAGGTTGCCTGAAGCAGGGGGTTATCACTGAGCAGCCAGCTCCAGACACTCCATAAAGCCCCTAACCACAGCCAGATGTTATGGCCTCTCTCCAACTCTCCAGACCGGAGCTCACTAGGTGTACATACGACCTCCCCACTCCAGACCGGAGCTCACTAGGTGTACATACGACCTCCCCACTCCAGACCGGAGCTCACTAGGAGTACATACGACCTCCCCACTCCAGACCGGAGCTCACTAGGCGTACATACGACCTCCCCACTCCAGACCGGAGCTCACTAGGTGTACATACGACCTCCCCACTCCAGACCGGAGCTCACTAGGTGTACATACGACCTCCCCACTCCAGACCGGAGCTCACTAGGTGTACATACGACCTCCCCACTCCAGACCGGAGCTCACTAGGTGTACATACGACCTCCCCACTCCAGACCGGAGCTCACTAGGTGTACATACGACCTCCCCACTCCAGACCGGAGCTCACTAGGTGTACATACGACCTCCCCACTCCAGACCGGAGCTCACTAGGTGTACATACGACCTCCCCACTCCAGACCGGAGCTCACTAGGTGTACATACGACCTCCCCACTCCAGACCGGAGCTCACTAGGTGTACATACGACCTCCCCACTCCAGACCGGAGCTCACTAGGTGTACATACGACCTCCCCACTCCAGACCGGAGCTCACTAGGTGTACATACGACCTCCCCACTCCAGACCGGAGCTCACTAGGGGTACATACGACCTCCCCACTCCAGACCGGAGCTCACTAGGTGTACATACGACCTCCCCACTCCAGACCGGAGCTCACTAGGGGTACATACGACCTCCCCACTCCAGACAGGAGCTCACTAGGGGTACATACGACCTTCCCACTCCAGACAGGAGCTCACTAGGGGTACATACGACCTCCCCACTCCAGACAGGAGCTCACTAGGGGTACATACGACCTCCCCACTCCAGACCGGAGCTCACTAGGTGTACATACGACCTCCCCACTCCTTAGACTACAACCAGAAGAAGACAAATCACACTGACACACTATTAGCTAGTAGGCCATTCTACACAATATCTCTAAACAGCACTGAAACCCTCTCCTCTGTTATTCTACATTCATCCAGTAAAACCAGAAGCCAATCTCACCACTTTCCCATTCCTTCCTAGTCATCCTTCTCAACGATTCCCTGGCAACACATAGGCTATCTCCCACAAGAGGCGGAGCTGCCCAAAGGAATGACAGAATGCTGAAATCACTTCACATCATCATTACATTGTAATAAGATGGCTCACAACAAACTGGCTTGCTCTAACGGATGGTCATCCATCCAGCCATGTTGTTACTGCTATCCATCCATGTTGTTACTGCTATCCATCCATGTTGTTACTGCTATCCATCCATGTAGTTACTGCTATCCATCCATCCATCCATGTTGTTACTGCTATCCATCCATGTTGTTACTGCTATCCAGCCATGTTGTTACTGCTATCCAGCCATGTTGTTACTGCTATCCATCCATGTTGTTACTGCTATCCATCCATGTTGTTACTGCTATCCATCCATGTTGTTACTGCTATCCATCCATGTTGTTACTGCTATCCATCCATGTTGTTACTGCTATCCATCCATGTTGTTACTGCTATCCATCCATGTTGTTACTGCTATCCATCCATGTTGTTACTGCTATCCATCCATGTTGTTACTGCTATCCATCCATGTTATCCCACACAATGCTAAAGCATATAGCCTAGCTGCCATAAAGGTTGGCCTAGCACATCAAAGGCAGTGTAAAGGGAGGTGAGCTGGCTGGTAATGGGGGGCTGATAGCCCCGGGGGGGAGGGGTCAGATGAAGATGTAAGGTAACATTTGAGCAGGGAGAGTGGGAGGGTAGAGGGGGTACAGGCGTTGGGTGACGAGCTAATCCACCTTGGGGCAGGCAATGTCTAGGCTAGGCTACACACACAGATAAATCAGTTTGTACAAATACACAGAAAGCATAAACACACACACAGATCAGGAAGGTATATTGATGCCCCCCTCTTCTTCTCAACACAAACCAGATGAGCAGTGGTGAGAGAGAAATGGCCTAGTGAGCAGCAGTAGGAGACAGCCCAGGCAGGCAGAGGCAGTCTGTCCTATACTGGATCTACTCCACATACCAGCCAATTGACCCACTGCTGCCCCTACCTCACTAACAGACAGACCAGACCTCCTACAACCACCAAGAAGACTGTGCATTCTCAGATCTGATATAGAGCAACACATGTGAGAGACAGTCAGCGAGAGACTGAAGGAGAGGAGTTGAAGCTTGGTCTGTGTCTGAAATGGGACCCTATTCCCTGTGGGCCCTGGTCAAACATAGCGCAATATAAAGAGGTTACCATTTCAGACAGCAGAGAAGCCTGCCAGGCTGAGTGGGCTGTGAGAGGAGAGACCAGAGAAGCCAGCCAGGCTGAGTGGGCTGTGAGAGGAGAGACCAGAGAAGCCTGCCAGGCTGAGTGGGCTGTGAGAGGAGACACCAGAGAAGCCAGCCAGGCTGAGTGGGCTGTGAGAGGAGACACCAGAGAAGCCAGCCAGGCTGAGAGGGCTGTGAGAGGAGAGACCAGAGAAGCCAGCCAGGCTGAGTGGGCTGTGAGAGGAGACACCAGAGAAGCCAGCCAGGCTGAGTGGGCTGTGAGAGGAGAGACCAGAGAAGCCAGCCAGGCTGAGTGGGCTGTGAGAGGAGACACCAGAGAAGCCAGCCAGGCTGAGTGGGCTGTGAGAGGAGAGACCAGAGAAGCCAGCCAGGCTGAGTGGGCTGTGAGAGGAGACACCAGAGAAGCCTGCCAGGCTGAGTGGGCTGTGAGAGGAGACACCAGAGAAGCCTGCCAGGCTGAGTGGGCTGTGAGAGGAGAGACCAGAGAAGCCTGCCAGGCTGAGTGGGCTGTGAGAGGAGAGACCAGAGAAGCCAGCCAGGCTGAGTGAGGAGAGACCAGAGAAGCCTGCCAGGCTGAGTGGGCTGTGAGAGGAGACACCAGAGAAGCCTGCCATGCTGAGTGGGCTGTGAGAGGAGAGACCAGTCAATAATGCAGCTGTTTTTGATCAGAGTGCAGCTGCTACAGTACCGGCCTCTGAAGAAACACTACTCGACCGAAAACAAGTTGTTTTCCTTCAGCGCTTGGAGAGAATGGGATGTGGTCTCAAGGGAAGAGGCAACTCTTCAGTTCCTAATAGTGTATCTACCATAAAAACTGAGTTGCGTTCGATATACCCAAAGCGTGGTCTATTTCACCTGCTTGTTTGTGGATAGAACCGACGAGGTGCTAAGTGAGAAACCTGACACCGAAGGGAAAGGAAAGTCTGTTGGACAAAGCTCAGACTGGGCTGCAGCCCTGAATGGGAACGCTGTCTCGATCGCGGGGGGCTTTTGTGTCCCTGTATGATAATGAGGTGGCTCAACGGGTCGCTCCTCATGCACACTTACACACACACAAAGCAGAGTTGTGTTCAGGCAGTGGTGTGGACAGCCCAGGGGCAGTGTGGGTCTTGTGACAGCCATTAGAGCGAGGGCCAGAGTAGGGGTGAGAGGAGACAAAAGAGCTTCACTGGACTGTGTGTAGGGAAGACACACACACACACACACACACACACACACACACACACACACAGTGTGAGCACGTGGACAGATAGGCCACAGTGTAGGGACAGACCGTGTCTGAAGGTGACTACTAGGTGTGTCTGGTCAGGTCTACACTTGACACTTACATGCGCCTTCTGCTATCAGAATACGAAGATGGCATTGAAAAGACAGGTCTAGACGCTTTGTGGTCTGATTGTGTTCAGATCTGGCTGAACACTTCAGGAAGTGGACAGGGATGCACTGTGTGAGGATTTCTCCTCAGTCTGGACGCATTCAGGCTACCGAAAGCGCATACAGTGGGTGACGTCATCAGCACTCCTCCCAGAAGTCTCCAGAAGCCTTTAGTTTTGGAACCTAGACACCTTTTCTTAATAACGTGTTTGCTGGCCTCATAAAAAGGTAGCCAGCTAGCTAATATTTAGAAAAAATATATTTTTGTTTGGCTAGAGTTATGCTAACCTGTTTGCAATCCATTTAGAGTTGCTTGCTAGCTACTGAGGTTATCTGGCTAGTTAGCTACAGTAGTTAGCTACTGCCATCAGTTGTTTTATCATATTTTGCCTATTCCACCGTTTGTAGAATGCATACTGGCATTTGAATATAGCGCAGGAAAAGGGAATCCGGACACATTGTGGACATGGTAGACACATTTAAATGTAGGTATAGATGCATGACGCGTTCGGAATACCATGATCAGAACTCTATGATCAGAATACTAAAGCTGCATGAACTGTCAAGTCTAGACACAGCCTCTGTGACACAGGGTGAGACCTTGGCCCTGCCACAGAGTGGGTGACACATTCAACACCAGACCAGCTGACCCCAGAGGGCCAGAAGCCAGACACCCACCAGGCAGTTAGGCCTGGGATAGGCTTCAGTAGCTGTCACCATCACTGGTCTGCGCACTCAAATGGAATTGAAGGCAAGGTTTCCAGCGTAGTACCAAATACCAATACTACCTTGCTAGAGCAGAGATTTAAGGGGTGATCTGTGATTGGTACATTCATTTTTGTACGGAGACGGTAATAGAAGCTAGACTATAGTCTGTGTAGACAGCATGGGGTTAACCCACAGAGACATGCCTACTGCCTATGGCCCACCACTCCCATTTCCAACATACTAACCTACAATTGTGCCTCCACTAACTGTGGAAGGCTAGGCTATAAATAGCGGTTAACCCACAGCTAGCACCATTTAACTGTGAGCAGGCCGGTTAGCTTCCTGCTGCATGGCGCACATTAACATTAACAGGCCTGTGTACTGGAGCTCAACACTGCTGCTTGGAACACCTCACAGAGGCATGATGTTTCCAAAGCTACCCAAAATTCAGATCTGTGTATAGGAGATTGGATGTTCAAGAGGATCTTTCACTTTTCTTCATACTGGT